ACAGCCAAGAGGCCAGAGGAGAGGTGGGGGGGGGGGCTGGCACTGTTGTTCTAGGCTCCCCCGCGGCTCCACAGGCGGCTGGGGGGCATGTCGGGGTGGGGGGGCGTCCTTACAAGCCCTGGGTCGCCGAGTGGGCGTAGCCAGCCAGGCAGAGCTGGGCTCAGTCCTGGGCTCTCTGCTCCTTACATGCTTCCACCTGCGCTGCTCCACGGGTGACTGGGGGGCGTGTCTGGTGGGTCTTCGGCTTGAAATATTTAAATTTAGTTTATACTCTAATATGTTAAAATGTTCTGCTGGATGTGGTGATACACGCCTGTAATCCCAGAACTTGGGAGGCTAAGGCAGAAATCGAAAGTACAGGGCTAGGCTGGACCACATAGCAAGACCCTATCTCATTGAAAAGAGAGAAGGAAAGAAAGGAAGGAAGTTCTCACTAGGGTTGGGGGTATAGCTTAGTGGTGCTTGCCTACCATGCCAATCCATCAATCAGTCAATCAATCAATAAAGTTTTAGATACATGCAGGAGGTTTGAATGCAAAGCAATAATAATGGTGTAGGAAGAACAGTCCCCTGAATTCTAGCCAAAGTGACTCCGTTTTGTAGTGGGCCACTCTTTAGCTGTCTGCTGGGCCCTCAGCAGGTGCTGGGGCTTTGCGCCAGACTGCAGCATAATAAGGTCACCCACCACTGAGGCTTGGCAGTGCTTACTAGGACTGGCAGTGTTCCCAATAAGAATGGGATGGGAACGGAGTACCCGGAACTTTTCCCAAGGACTCTTGTCTTTTGTTTCTGCTTTTTGCTGTTGACCTTAGAGGCCTATAAAACCAGTGCTTAGCAAAGCAGGGTTGGAAACTTCAGTAATGCCATAGCCACAAGTTGTCTACTGCTCTGTATGTAACCCCAGTAAACTCATTTACTTGCCACATTGGACTTATCCAAGTTATTCTTTGGACTATCACCACCTTCTAACAGTTCAAAAGCAGACATTTCTTTTACATCTTTGAGAAAGTCACAGAACAACTGGCTTCACAAACCATCTTCATATATTCAGCAATAACAAATGAAAACCCCAAATATTTCAAGGCATAATATTTAAAAGACACTAGTTTGCATCCATTTAAATTCAACAAAATGTGTTGCATTCATACCATTTATTATGCTGGGATGACGATGTCATTGGAGGGGATGGTGGCAGTGAGTTTACAAAGATATGACTTTCCTGCCTTTCAAGAGGGAACACTTACATAGCTCAGAATAATGCACTGTGGAAAACAGTACCCAGGAGTATACTGTGAGAAGCCCCACTAAACAGCACATCATGGATCATCTCCAGCAGGGCCAGAGAGGTGGGGCACTTATCTCAGTAGAAGACTCACAGAGTGGTGATAATTTGCTTTGAACCTTAAGGAGAAAAGGGGAAGCACAGAAGTGAGAAAAGAAAATTTGCCATCACAAAAATCACGGTGCTACTTAAGTTCCTAAAGGTGCATACCTCTAGTAGATTACTATCTCATTATTCAAAATAAGATTAGGTTTTTAAACACCTGTAGAGATCTAACAACTTGCCTTTAGTCAATCTAAAAAAGTTACATTTATCTAGGGATTGAACTCAGGGCTTATGTATGTTAGGCAAGCACTCTACCACCAAGCCACTTCTTCAGTCTCTCTTAAAAATATTTTCTTTTGAGACAGGTTCTCACTAAGTTGCCTAGGCTGGCCTCAAACTTGCAATCCTCCTGCCTCATTTTCCTGAGTAGTAGGGATTATAGGCATGCAATACTCTACCTGGCCCAAAAACTAAAATTAAAAACTAAAAGGAAAAAAAAATCAATCTAACTTTAAAAAACTTCTCTAAGACTAAAATGTCTATTGATTTAATTTAATCATATTAGCACTAATGTCTATCATTTCTGAACAAATAATTTCATTCTCTTTCTAAATGTAACTTTTCATAAACATGAGGAAGGTAACCTGGGGTAGGGAAAGTTAGTTCAAAGTGTGTATGTACACCTTCCTCAGTGTAGAATGCCCTGCTTCAGTTGGACCCTCTAGGTCCAGCACCCAATCAGGGCAGACCTCCCCCTTGGCAGGGAAGGGGCACTGTAAGACCTTGTCAAGCTCTGTACAGTAAACTATTCTGGGAGCGCAGGATACAAAAGAAGTAGAATAATGGAGGTAACCTAACCTCCATTAGGTTAGGTAACCTAAGCAGATTTGCATTTTTAAAAAGATCATTCTGATAATGTATAATTAATGTATTGGCTTGGGTAAAATGAAAGACAGGATGTCAACTTGTGAGTAATGTGGTGATATGGGTGAGAAGAACTGAGGTCTTGGATAAAATTGTAGGAGTAGAAAGTGCCTGACAGATTTTAGAAGGCCTTGATATGTTATTATGATTTGGCTAAACAGAACAGTATTCCAAAGTTTCTAGAGTTATGAGCATCTGGGTGGATGGTATTATTCCCTTAGAAAATATAAGGGAAGCCTTTGTGGAAGATAATATTGAGTTTGATTTTGGGCTTACTGAAGTTTTAAAACCCATGAGACTTCCAAAAAAGAGATTCTGGTAGGCTGTTCGATGTATAGGTTTGAACCTCAGAAGAGAGATCTAAGTCAGAGATATAGATTTAAGTATTTAAAACATTAACTGCATGAAAAGTAACACAAACAGAAAAGTGAGAAAAACAGAGAGTTAAGCTCAGAGCTATAAGGACATTTAAGTAGCAAACAGAAGTGAAAGCCATATGAGACCTGAACTACAGCTTGTTTCCTGTTTTTGTACTTTTTTTCTCCTAATATATTCCCACATCATAATTGTTTTTAAAAACTTACAGAACCTCACCTAATCATTTGGAAATCAACTACCAGTTGTTGCTTTTGTTTTCTTTTAAAATACTAGGGAAATGTGAATTTTTATCATTTTTTTTTTTTTGCTGTTAAATCTGTAGTGCCTAGAATTGTATCTGGTACTTATGGTAGTAGGTGCCTAACAAATATTTTGAATAAATGAATATTATGATTGGTAAACTTACTCTACTTTCTCCAGATTTCATGGTACTCGTCATTTATTCAGAGTGTTGATAAATATAATCAAAGCACAAATTTTGAGAGAAAGACAAGGGAAAAAGAAGGAAATTGGAAAGAAAGGGGATAATTGGGGGTATTGGAGGGCAAGATAATAAAAGGAAAAACTTTAAATTCTTACTTTATTCAAGAGAAATATTTATTTTTTCCATATTTTTAAAAGGCAAATCATCTGACTTGTCATATTCCTTGTAGTGAATATGTTTGGAAACATGAATGAGACATTATTGCAAAGAATACTTGCATAAGCATCAGAGGAGATGTTTGGCATATCTGGCTTCTTGGAATCTTTTGAACGCTCATTCTCAGGTTGTGAATCCAAGCTCTGCACACTAAAGGGTATAAATCTCACTTTCCTTAGACTCTTGAGCATCTGAGGTACCCAGCATGAGTCCGAATTCTGTCCTAGCAGCAGATATGCAAGGTTTTGATTCAAAGAAAAGGGAGTTGGGCAGTTAGTCAAGGGTATAAGTCTGGTCAGAAGGCACAGAGCTATCACCAGCATCAGAGACACAGCTCCTGGTTTTAGTGTTGGTGCTCAGTGTTCTCAGGATTCTATGAACAATCTCCTGGTGACTTTGGGGACAGCTCCAACCAGCATTAGCCTCTGAGCATGATTGATTCTTTCTTGTTAAAGAACTTGCTAGAATGAGTTGGTTCTGTTTATAATGGAAAGCATTTATTAATATAACAATTTACAGAATGATTTTGCATTATTATTATTATTATTATTATTATTATTATTAGTATTAGTATTAGTATTAATACTGGGGATTGAATCCAGGGCCTTCACACTGAACTACATTCCCAGCCCCACGACCTTTTACATTTTAAAAAAAGTTTTGAGACAAGTCCTTGCTAAGTCACTAAGTTGCCTGAGCTAGACTTGAACTTGCAGTCCTCCTGTCTACATCCATCGACAGGTCTACACTCTTGCATTTCCCTAATTAGTGTATAGGCCTGATATAAATCAGAAGTGCTTCATATGCATAAAATAAGAACATATACTTAACCTACTATATATTTTTGTCCATATTTTCCAAGGAGACAAAACAAAAATAGTGCTGAGGTATCTCCAAAAACTTATAGGGTAGTTTAAAAGGAAGTTTGGGGTACAGGAAAGAGCTTTGTCTTTTTGTCCAAGTTCAAGTACAGACCAATCCTGATCTTGAGCCCCTTGGAACTCGGTTTTCTGATAGGTAAATTTAGGGTTGTGTTGATAATAATAGCTATTATTTATGGGGCACATGCTTTGCCAGACAAGTAATATTATTTCCCTAGGTTAAGAAAGAAGATATTGAGAGGCAGTGACAGAGCTGAACTATGGATCAGACTTATTGTTACCAAAGCTTTACTCCTGATTTCTCATTAGGTGATCTCTTTTTTAAAAAGTTTACAGTTTGTAGTTCTAGGTAAGACTCAAGGAAGATATAAGCTGACTTTCACAATCAATATTATGCTGTGTATGTATGTATGTATGTATGTATGTATGTATGTATCTATCTATCTATCTAATTTATCTGTTTTCTCTTGAAACAGGGACTCATTATTTTGCCTAGGCTGGTTTCTAACTCCTGGGCTCAAGTAATCCTCCTTCCTCAGCCTTCCAAGTAGCTAAGACAACAGGTAACTGCTACCAAGGCCAGCTGATATATTTGTAGATTACTCTGATCATGCACTTGGATGTCACAGCAATGTTAAATTATTATTAATATTTCAAAATGTTTACTCTCAATTTCTATACTTATATTATTGTGAATTGATAATACATAGTTTGTAGATGGTTCTGATCTACGGATCATACTTTGAGTAGCACTGTTTCTAAAACATCTAAAATTATTGCATAGTACAAAGAAAAACTAACTGGACAACAATCCTGTGGGAGATGATAACACTACTCAGGGGCAGTCCGTTCTCCATTCGGTGGCTCTACTAATCTTACTGCCTGCAGAAACAAGGCAAGCTCTGCAGGACGTATGTGATGAAACCAGCTCTCCATTGCATGTTACCAGTTAGAGAAACTTGTCTTTCAATCAGACTTTATACTATTCTCCTTCACCTAGTCAGTCATCAGCAAGTCTTCAGCTGTTGTTTACCTTGCCTCTCACACTTGCCTTCCTTTTATTGCCATCTCGTTGTTCATGGTCATAAAATCATGACTCCTGGAGTCTCCATGATGCCAGTTTCTGCTCTCTTTTCTTTCCATTTCATCATTTAGAAAATGAAATGAGCAGAGACTAATTTTAAGATGTTCTCTGGCTCTATCATTTCATGATTTATCCCCTGCTGTTCATATTGATTCTCATCTGAGCTGCACAGAAGACCTAAGTTCTTTATTATCCTAATATAGAGTGTGTCTGTTCTACAAAAATAAGAATAAAAAGGAATCTAGCTTGTATGAAAGAAATCAGCAGCTCGTGGTTTGGAAGGTACAACCAGGCTCAATATGCTGACCATCCAGAATCTTAGCTAGTCTACACTGATATTTTTTATTTTTTCCATTTGGTACTGTAATCCTAGAGGTAGTTAATATTTCTGTAATCACAGGGAGGTAACCCCTAAGAAGAATGAGAAATAATAATGAGATTAGTATAGAAATAACCAAAGCACAGCTTTTTCCAGTACTGGGGATTCAACCCAGGGCCTTTGCCCTGGGTTTTTAAATTTTTGAGACAAAGTCTAAATCACTAAATTGTTCGGGGTGAGCTTGAACTTTCAATCTTCCCATCTTAGCCTCCCAGAATTCTGGGATTACGGGTACGCATCTTAAAGTTGGTACTTTTTTTAACTCCTTAAAGTATAAAGGTAGTACTATGCATAGTAATAAATATAATTTTGTGAGGTATTTTTTAGTTTGTCAGATGTTTATATAACATTTAAAATAATCTGTTAGACTTGTGATTTTAACTAATAATTACAAACATTTCATTACATAATTTTCAATGTTTCCATTCAGTAAATAATGTTTAATTTGTTTTGATTTGGTGTTTTCTAATAACTCATGTTTAGAGATTTAGTGTAATAAATTAGAATTAACCATAGTACATATAAAATTGAGAGTTCCTTTACATGAGAAGCTCCAGGTCACCATGTGGGCATGCTTCTAACTCCAGAACTTTGGGAAATTGAAGCAGGAGGATTGCACGTTCAAGCCCAGCATGGGCAACTTAGTATCTTAGCAAGACCCTATCTCAAAATAAGAAATAAATCAAGGGCTTGAGATATAGCTCAGTGTGAAGGTGAGAGAGAGAGAGATTGACTAAGCACTAGATCACTGAAAACCTTGTCAGCATTGTCCCTCCTTTTCTGCTCAAGGAAGTGAGTCACTGTGTCCTTAAAGTGTTGAGGGGAAGAAGGAGAAGAGAGAGAAGATGAAGACCAATTCTTTGAGGTGAAGATAAATGTTTCTGGTCTGACTTCAGGGCATTTTTCCTGAAGTGTGGTGAAGGCAGTGTGAGATGGATGGGGATCTCAGACACCAAGTGTCATGATTTTGCAAAACAAGATACTATTGTGAGCTTGACAAGAAAGGAGTGGAATTGGCTGCCTGTGAATATGTTCATGTGAGCACAAGCAGTTAACACCCCAGAAGTGATCAAAGTGGACTAAAGACCAGAGTCTTTTCCCTTTAGTCTTCTGGATTATATATAATGTCTCAGACTTTTTATGACCCTAGAGAGTGTAGAGCCTGCCTGCCCTATCCTTCACCCTTATATAATCAGCTAAATGACGTGGATTAAATCTCCCACCCATCCCAGTGTGTTGCAGGCATAGGGAAACATTGGAGAACTAAGAAAATGATGCTTTTAGGACCTACAATTGTGGAATACTCTCATGCTTTATAAACATACAGTGAATGTCACTGAGCCTGGCTGTGGGTTTTGATCACCTATGAGACAATACAACATACTCAAGAAAGAGAGAACAAAAGACACAGACACAGAGAGTTGAGAACAGAAGCTGGGTCTTGGGCTGATCCAAGCTGCTCTGGGCAGTGAAGACAAAAGGCACCAAGGCCATCCAGTGTTTATTCATTGCAAGAGTGGGAAGAAGGGGAGCAGGTTAGATACCTGCTGATAACAAGTATGGCAATCAGGACTATAGAAGGAAGGCACTAGCATATCTTTACTGAAGATAATAAATAGTTAATTCAGAGTGAAAGAATTTAGTGGGCGTCAAGTTGACCTTAGCTGGAAGTGAACTCAGCAAGGCCCCTACTTCTAATGTAATATAGCTGAATTATAGAGCAGCAAGAAGCTTGTGCAACTTGTAGCCTGCTAATACTGGGCAGAGATGTCTTCTGTAGTGGAGCCCAGTGCATCTGACTGGATCTGAGCCATTGGGAACCAAAAGAAAGGGAGAGTGCTTGGGATCCCTCATTTCTGGCAGTGCATGTCCACACAAGAAAGGAGCTACAAAAAGGGGGTACCCAAAGAAGCAGGTGAAGATGAAGCCATGCAGTGAGTCTTAAGCCCAAGACTGCCAACTAGAACCCAGCCCTTTATTTCTATGGCCTCTAGGGCCTAAATCCTCTTCTCCTACTTCAAGGAAAAAACAAAAAACAAAACTGTCTCACAATAATACATTTTTTTCTTCCTTGAAAAATTCTAAAGTATACTAAAAAAAAGTCTTGCTTAAGACTTGCTTAAAATAGCACAAAGTTTGTTTTAATTAATGATCTTTTCCTGGTGCTGGGGGTATAGCTCAGTGGTAGAGTAGAGTGTTTGCTAGCATGTGCCAGACTTGAGTTCAATTTCCAGCCCGGCAAACAAAACGAAAAGACAACAACCTATGATAATCTTGTTATTTGATTTTTCTGTAGGGACCTAATGTTTTAATTAAGTCCTAACAAGAAATAGAATAGACCAAGACATTAGAGATATTAGAGACATGGGAGTGAGTTTTGTGCCCCCCCCCCCCCCCGCTTTCCTTCTTTCTTGTAGTGCTAAAGATTAAGCCCAAGGGCTCTCTGTCACTGAGCTCTATTCTTAGACCTTTTACTTTTTTATTTTTTCATTTTCAGATAAGATCTCACTAAGCTCCTCAGGCTGGTCTTCCATTTATGATCTTTCTGCCTCAACTTCCTGAGTGGCTTGGATAGCAAGTGTGTGTCATCACATCAGGTTCCTTTGTTTTTTTTAAATTATCACTAAACAATTTGTGAAGTTTCTGGGTAGATGATTGCTAGTATTATTTTAAAATTTCAGATTAATGTATTGACTGTGGCTTTTACCTTAAGATATTCCAAGGTTTTCCAGGAGATGAAGTTTTCAATTTATGTTACATATTTTTATAGCATGTATTCTTTCTGTTTGTGGAAAAGTTGGTAAAAGACCAACACTCATGGGAAGTACTTTCAGTATGCCACTGTAATTTAGAGGAAGTCAGTGTCTTGATTTTAAAAAGGGGGGGACACAATCAAAACTGTTTTGTTTTTCATTTTTTAAATTATAAAAAATAATCTATGTTAACTTTGTTTTAAAATCAAGCAATATAGAAATGCTGTCCAGAGGTACATATGAATAACAGATGGGCACACAATAACACATTCTTTGTTTTTAATTTCACATTGGTGTTCTCAAGAGCAGTGACTTTATATAAATTCCTTCATGAGTCACTTTCATGAAAAAAAGAAAAGACAAGCAAAAATAAAATTTTAATTAGGAAAAATAAAAGTGTAATTTGAAAATATTGATAAACATCTTAATTGTATGTTATATATAACAGCTCCATTTAATCTTCAGAAAAAGAAGCTTGCGCAATGTTAATGAAAAATTAAAGAAAATTATGTTTAATGAAGGGGAAAATAGCCTAATATGTGAGTAGCTGCTATAAAATAAGTTCAACTGTGTGTGAAAGAGAAAGTGAAAATAATGAGCAATAAAGCATTAGATCCCCTCCCCCCCACACACACATCTGTGGCTATATCAAGCATCACAAATTTCATGTTAGTATGCATTAGAGAAAAATTTTCTTTTTTATACATATTAACACGAATTATCTCCTTATTACAGATGATTAGAATGCAGTAAGGCCTTTTGTACTCCAGTTGTAAAAAAAGGAATGTAGCATGATAGAATAGGAATTATCTAGATTATCACTTTGTTTCATAGTTTTATCCCCAGTGCCTTGCATAGTGACTGGTGAATAAGTAGCAGATAAATATTTGTAAAATAATCATAGTAATATCTAGCATTTATTGGGGGCTTTCTGTATGTCAGGCACTGTTCAAAGCACTGACACATTTTTATACAATCCTCACAAAAAATCATACATGACTATAAGTTACCTTTTTTTGTCTGTTTGTTTTAGGTAGGGTCTATAGGGCAAAGGTTAATAACTTTTGGAATCATGACAATTGCCTGAATTTTATGTTTCTGCTAACTTACTTTTTTTTTAGACAGGGTCTCACTTTATAGTTCAGGCTGGCCTTGAACTCACTATGTAGACCAGGCTGGCCTCAAACTCTCGTTTATCCTCCTGCCTCAGCCTCCCAGTGCTGGAATTACAGGCGTGCACCACCATGCCCAGCTTGCTAACTCACTTCTACTGTCCAAAGTATGGAACTGCTTTGGCTTTCTGTGCCTATCTGGCATTTACCATCTCACAGGCTGTTCGCTTTATCCTTTGTGCTTGCTGTAATTTCAGTAGCTCATTTACTGTGGATTTAACAACTTCTGTCTGATCCCAGTGTCTTTGAAGTTATGTCCCATAAGTTGCACATTCTTGCATTAAAGAAGGTCACTCTTTGGCTTTACTTCTGACCCAGGATTTAATAATGGTATCACTTGTAGGATCAATATCTCACAAACTTACAAAAGCAGAACAAAACTGGGAAGCTATAAGGTCAACTGTATGTAGGTAATAAAATAAATAAATATATATTTGTCTTTATTTTGTTTATTTTCGATACATAGTCTCACTATGTAGCTCATGCTGGCCTTGAAGTCACTGCACAGCCTTGACTGACCTTGAATTTGTAATCCTTCTGCCTCTCAAGTGCTGGGATTACAGGCATGCATGTGCCATCATGCTTGGAAAAAATTCCAGTGTTTATATTTCAGAATGTATCTTTAAAAATTAAGATCTCCTCAAAGAATATAACCACAATGCCAATATCATGCAAAAAATGAGAAAAACAATAATTCCTTAACATTATTAAATGTCCAGCAAGCATTCTAGAACCTTATATAAATAACTTTACTCTTTTGGGTATGGCCTTTTGTTCTCCTCACTTGGCATGATGTTTTAAAGTCATTCATGTTGTGGAAATGATTCTTTCCTTTTTCTTGCTCAATAATATTCAATTGTATGACTATCCCATAATTTATTCATGTATTCTCTTACTGATGATATTATAAATAAAACAGGTATGAACATCCTTATACATCTTTTTGTGGACATGTACTGATTTGTCTTGGGTAAAAACCAAGGTCATAAGGTAAGTATATGCCAGATCTATTCCCAGAGAATTTACAGCATTTTATATCTGACAAATATGCACAAGGGGTCTGAATTTTACACATCTTCATCACTTTTTAATTTTTAAAAATTAAAATTTTAGAAATTTTAGTTTGAAGCAAATTACCTTTAGCTATTCTCATGGGTGTATGGTGTTATCTCATTTCAGTGTTAATTTGTAGATCCCTGATGACTAATGACATTTTTTAAAGATACAGCCCATACTGGCCCGAAGTTCACCATCCCAGTTCCTCACCCTCCTGGTGCTGGGATTACAGATGCCAAGCTTTGAGCACTTTTTCATATTCTTATCGGCCATTAGTTTATATTGTGTTCTTTTGTGAAATATCTGCTCTTTTGTCCATTTAAAAAAATGGTTTGTTTAGCTTTTTGTCATTGAAGATCTATGTTTATATCTATATCTATATCTATATCTATCTTCTAGGTACCTGTTCTTTGTCCAATATATGTTTTGTAATTGTTTTTCTAACAGTCTGTAAACTGCCTAATTCTTTAAAAGTTTTTTATTAGTACATGTTTGTGATATATAAGGAATACATTCATCATGGGGAGCTGGTATGTATGCAAATTTCGCCTTAATCCTTTTTACTTCCCTTTTCCCTCTCTTTCCTCCCCTCTTCATCCATTCCTAGATACCCTATGCAAGACCTGCTTAATTCTAATTTTCTTAATGGTTTATTTGCTTTAAATTAATGAATTTTAATTTATAGGGGGTTTTTTTCCTGGTCATTCCTTTCTTTGACTTGTAAAGAAGCTTTTCCCAGGTAATGGATCTATTTTTCTATTTTTTCTTTTAAAAAGCTGTATGATTTTAGCTTTTATGCTTAGGTCTATGACCTACCTCAAATTAATTTCTATATATAGTGTGAGGTAAGGGTTGAGATTCATTCATTCTACACGGATCTCTAGTTTGTCCTCTATCATATATTAAAAGACTCATTTCCCATGAAATTGCTTTGGGTGCCTTTGTAGAAAGTTGGATAGTTGTATAATTTCCAAACTCTCTATTCTGTTCAATAACTATTTGTCTATCCTTATAGGAGTAAAACATTATCTTGATTATTACAGCTTTATACTAAGTTTTGAAGTCAGGTAAAAATTCTCTGTGTTCTATTTTAAGATTATTGTACTTGGACTATTCTGGGTCTTTTGCTTTTCAACAACTTTAGAACCATCTTTCCAATTTATACAGAAAATCCATTGGGATCATGATTGGGATTGCATTTTTTTCTATCAACCAATTTGTGGAAAATTGATATCTTAAAAATATTGAGCTTTATAATGCTTGAATATAGTATATCTCTCTGATATTTTAGGTCATCTTTAATTTCTCTCTGTGATATTTTCAGGTTGTTAGCATAGAGATTTAGCATGCTTGTTATTGAATTAATCCCTAAGTATTTTATGTTTTTGATGTGACTGTAAATTAAGTTGGTTTTTTAAATATTAGTTTTGCACCCTGGAACCTTACAAAGTCCAATTATTATATCTGAATATGGTTTTGTAGATTCTTTGGGATTTCCTATGAAATAATTTTATCACCTGCATATCGAGACAGTTTCATTTCATTCTTTCTGATCTTCAGACCTTTTACTTATTTTTCAACTTTATTGAAATGAAGAAGACCTTCAGTATAGTACTGAACAGAAGTGGTGAGAATGAGCATTTTTGACTTGTTTATTAACTATGACACTATCAACTGGGATCTTGGCAATAGATTTTTCATAGATGGTATTTTTCAGATTGAGAAAATTCTGTTCCTAGCTTGATGAGAATTTTTATCATGAATGGGTGACTACTTTTGACTTTTTAAAGATAGATCTTATTTTTTAGACAATTTGGGGTTTACAGCAATATTGAGCAGAACATACGGAGACCTCCTATATATCACACCTCCTGTCCCTACGCATACATAGGCTCCCCCATCATCCACCAACAGTGTTTTATTGTTACAATGGAACCTACACTGAAACATCAATATCACCTAAAGTCTACAGTTTACCTTAAGGTTCACTCTGGATATTGAACATTCGCTGAGTTTGGACAGACTTATGAGAACATGTATCTACCATTATAGTGTCATATAGAATAGTTTTGCTGCTCGAAATATTCTGTGTGCTTGGCTTATTCTTTCAAATTCTGGCAATCACTCATATTTTTACTGTCTCCATCAGGTATTTACTTTTATTACATCATTTTCATACATGTATTCAAAGGACCACAAGGTCTTTTTTGAATGGATTAAATCCTATTTGAACTTTTTATAGATAGCTAATTTTGATCTGCAAATATTTTGTTGAATTTTATTTTATCAATATTCAAGAGGCATATTTTTCATTCATTAATTTTATTGGTGCATTTTAGGTATACAATATGCTGGCATTCATTATTGGAAACTTGTACCTTTACATAATATATTTTGGTTCTTATTTTATTCCCCATTCCCCTGCCCTCCCTTCAACCCCTCCACCCCTCCCTATTTATAGACTTTGTTTCCATTTTTTTCCTTTTCTCATATTTATTCCTTTCCCTTCTTTCCCTTCTACCCCTCCTACTTCCCTGTCCCCTTTGGACTTTTTCTTCCTATTTCACATTATCTATTATACTAAATAAGTTTGATCCTTATTTACACTTTCAGATTCTCACACCAGAGAAATGGTTCAGTATTTACATATGTGTGTCCAGCAGACATATTTTTCTTTGACTCTCTCTGTTTCTCCTCTCTCTTTCTCTCTCTCT